GCGATCAATATCTCCGTTAAAAACGATCAAAATTTAAATTTAAAAAAATGATCAAAATTTAAATTTTAAAGCTTGAAATTTCTACTTTCGAATAGTTACTGTATTTTTTGAATTTATGTGAGTTTTATAATTTTTACATAGAAAACTGCGAGTTAAAAAAAGTGAAAAATTTTCGACTATTTATCGTGAAAGCTTGAAACTTTCTATATAAAACCGTTTTTTAAAAATGTTTCTGTAATTTCTTGTTCCTGAGTTACTCGCGGATTAAGTAAAAAGGAACATTCTGACTTTATTGCTCGTAACTCCGTTAAAAATCATCGTATCGCAATTAAAAATACAGGCTCTTAAAGCTTAAATGTTGCTCTATCGAGAGGTGTAATTGCCTTTTTTTTAAATAGAATATATGAGTTGCTAAAAATTTTCACAATTGATTTAATGATTACGTTTGGCATCTACTTGATAAAATAATAGAAGGTATTGATTGAATTATAGTCTATTAATAGATATGTATCCTAGTCCTGTAAACAGTACAATATAGTGAATTATCCTTGTTTGTCAATATTAGAGGAGAAGATGATATTATGGAGTCACTTACATTTTGTACAATAACTTGCTTAATAATTAATATTTAAATTTGCATCTTGCAGAACAGCATAAAGTAAATATATAATTCGACAAAAATGTTCTATATCGAAGTGAAAAGATTCTGGAAAATCTCATATACATTCACTTGTAGGTATTTTATACAGAAAAAAATTAATTATTGCAAAATTACAACCAGTATTATAAACACTGCTTATATTATCTGATAGAAAACACTTTTTAGTTTGTATTTATTTAAAGTTTTATTTTTACCTTTTGTTTGAGAAATATTATCTAAAAACAAAGTGATAATATCGAAAGTCGATATCGGCGATTTTTTCCTAACAATGGACACATTTTTTAATGAAACGAACGAATCTGACAGAAAAAAGTGTCTCTCTGTCCCACGAAGCGAGATATTAATCGTAGAAGTTTGCCATCCACTTGATACTAAAATTATGGAACTTGTTATGTCGATATATATAGCAATAAACTGCGCGCATGCATTGAGGTCACGTAAGAATGAAAACTTAAAGTATAAATTCTTAATCCTAAAATATTCTCTGCTATAATTTAAATTACATAAGAAAATTTGTGTCTTTAATTAATTAAACTAAAGTAATATGTAAGTACAAATTTTTAATTATGAATTATTTTCGTATGACAGATTTTCTAATCTAAACAGTTAATAACTTTAACGATTAATATCCTCAATATATGCTTATCTCGCTGCGCCGTATGCTATCTGATAGTCAGTCTGACAGATTTTTCTAATCTTACTGTAAATACTTAACAATTCCTTTAATAAAGCTAAACGACGCTTTTTTCTGCCAAATTTGTTTGTTTTACAAAATAATGCGTTAATTGATATATTTTTTAACAACTTTTTTGATTGTATATTAAGCTGAATAATTGTCATATTTTTCTTGCAGTTTTTGAGTCTTTATTCACTAGTAAATTATATTTATCTCAATTTTTTTACAGCTCTTAATCATATTTTATGTCTATGTACTTTATGTACAAAGACGATAGTGTACATTAAATGTTGAAAAAAACAGTAAAATAATTTATATGACAAGGGAAACACCAAGTGATGGGATCAAGGATTTTGTTGCGCTTTTTACAGGTTGTTCTTGAGCAAAAAAAAACGACTCGTGTCCGGCCATTTCAGCCATTGGCCCATAGTTTCGAAGAAATCTTTTAAAATAATTATTGTAATAATTTGAAAAACATACTGTATAAATGAAAATATCAGTATCTTTATAAATTTCATTTAATGTCATTAGTTTCAATTACTTTTTGATTGCAATGAAATTTCATAAAATTATATATTAGTATTAAACACATACATTTATGGAATATTTATTATTATCATCGTCGTCGTTGTTGTTATTTACATGAACGCATAAATAAGATTATAATGAAAACTATTACGTATTATTTCCGAAATTAGAAATTGGAAATTATGATTAGAAACAAGTAAGTCATATGTTTGTAATCTTGTTTAGAAGATTTGATTTATTAATAATAATTTATTAATCGATTAAATTATTAATAATACTAGAAAATAATTGTGTTTTTTAGACGTACATTGTAGACGTACGGGATGATATAAATCACAAAAACGAAAAAAACATAAATATTTATTGCATTGTAAACATCTTCTGAATGAATTTTGGTTGCAGACACAATAACTTTTTCTAATATCTGGCGGAAAGCAGATTTGATTGACATTATGGAAATAGCTTCTTTCAAGAATTAATTTTGATGAAAACCAAATTTTTTATTCTAAAATGAAATTCATTCTAAAATTCATTCGTAAGATATTCACAATAAATATTTGTGTTTTTCTTGTTTTTATGATTTCATTTTTATCACTCCATACAATGTACGTCTACAAAACACGATTAGTTTTCTATTATTATTAATAAATCGATTAATGTTAATCAAAAGAAAATTACAAATATATGTCTTACTTATTCCTAATCATAATTTCCAATTTCTAATTTTATCAGAAACTATAACAGTTTTTATTATGATCTTATTTATGTGTTCATGCGAATAACAACAACGATAATAACGATGATAATAATAAATATTCCATAAATAAATGTTTAATTATTATCTATAATACTATTATATATAATTTCATGAAATTTCATTACAATCAAAAAGTAATTAAAACTAATAACATTAAATTAGAAGTTTATAAAGATACTGATTTTTATTTATACAGTACATTTTTCAAATTATTACTAATAATTATTTAAAAAATCGATTTCTTTGAAACTATGGGCCAATGGCTGAAACATCTGGACACTTTTTTTTCGTTCAAAAGCAGCCAGTAAAAAGTGCATCAAAATCCCCGACGTCGTCACCTGGTGTTCCTATTGTGAATTGTTAATAGAATTATTTTTGCAATTTACTACATAACAATATAATTTTGCTTTCCTTTTTAATTGTTTATTTTCCTAAGTTATTAAAAAATTGCGAGTATTTTCGCTATTTCAGTTTAATTTCGTAAACTGACCGCTATGAACGCGCCTAAGTCATTTTGCGAATCCCCTCCACGTTCATGCACAAAGCAAAAACTATTTGTTGTTTTATTTCTTTGCTTTGTTTTTTTATTAGTTTCAAAATGTATTTGACAATAAATTGTTAATTCTCTGCTTTAGCTAATGTTGATTTTTTATAACTGATATTTTGACCAATATTTCTAGATAATATTAGCTGTTACATACAACTAATTAAAATATTCTTATATAAGTGTCAAATTCCTAGCATTAGCAATTATCAAAGTTCACGATAATCAGTCTTGAAAACTGCAATCTGTCCTTGCACATCTACATCTTCATTTGAATCACGATGATTATGCGTTACGATGAAATGTTTACGTAAACTAAATTGCATAGTAAAATATCGCAACTATTTTTATGATAGAAGAAGAACACCTATACTTTATTACAATGAAGGACATTGCATAAAATTAGCTATATATTGATGATAATAATGAGTGTGCAATGTGTGTGTACGTATGCATGTAGTGTGAGATAATCAACTCCCAGAATAAAAAAAACTTTATATAATAGACGTAACCACAATAATTCCAAAAAATCAAATTGTATACGCGTCCGGAAGATACCCATCTTTAGATAAAGTATTTATTTCAAGAATAATTACAATACAAACAGAGAATTTATATTTATTATACAAAAAGAATTTTTAACAGGAAATAGTTCTACTTAATGACCTCTAAGAAAAAAAAGAGAAAACTCGCGTATTTTTATTTTATGTTTTAATCAAACATGTACAGTTAGGAACATAGCTTTTAATGACACCATTATGTTAAGCTAAAAATAGAATTAATGATGCTCAAGTATTAAATTAATATAATCTCATCTCGCACTTTTTCGATGAATGTCAAATTTTGTATTCTATTCTTTGTTATTGTTAGTGGTTATCGTTGTGTATACGTCATTCGTTGCGTAACTATAAACCATCAGCGATCGTTATTCTGTGGTGCATCGTTTAAAAGTTTATTCTTTCATATGTGTTGCAAATAAAATTTGGAATAGGTATTAGTTACTTTTTGTTTACACAAAAATTTATATAATTTTCATTTGTGACGTCATAACTCAATTGAATGCATGTTTCTTTTCATACTACAATATCAAGTGAAATTCGATTGAATTTTTACTTAAAAACTGCACAAGTTCGAGAGTGTGTGGTCTACTGACAATGAGTCTTAATCATTTAACTCATCACTTTAACTCACATTAAAAGTGAGATTTATAAACCTGTATTGTTATGCGATAACATAATTTTATTACCAAAGTAAATGGTGACGTCATTATCGTTGATAAAAATAGTTACCAATAAAAAAATACAGTACTAAAAAGTACGTAAAAAATTTTGAAAAAATTCTTAGAGATTTTCTTCTATAAGGAGAAAATAAACAATTTTTGTCTCTCACTGTTTTTCTGTAAAGTTAATAGTACTTGAGAAAAAAATGATTAAAAATCAATATTTGGTGATTTGAGTAATTGATATCTTGTTAATTATTGCGAAAATTGTAAAATGGTAGAGGACTTTTCGTTTCAATTTAGTCCGTTCTACTTATGCGAGAGTTTTATTACTTATCAAGCACCCTGTACAGATAACAAAGGTTATATATTTAAAAAATTATCCTGCTATTAATATTCATTGTCTGTTATATTCATTATAATATCAGAATTTCATGACTCAAAACATGCATACATGCTATTATTGCGATGATCTATGTTGCTACCTCGAAAGAATAACAAATATAATTTGGGTACTCCCCCACACATGATGCTAGAGAAGAAATCAAGGAGAGTCATTATGTCATAAACTATAAAAACTTAGGACACTATCTCGCGATTAGTCAGTAACTCTGTGATCACATGGATTCATATTCGTGTTGAAACGAAAAATCGAAATGAAAACAATTGTTATCTTGCTCGTCGTTTCTTTCGTCGCCGTCTTGGTAAGATTATTTCATTATTATATGTGTCTCCGCTAATAATCTATTTAATCTATTTCTCTCTAAACAAAATATTCTGCAACTTATTTTTAATATAATTAATTTTCATTATTTAATTATATCGAACTTACTAATATTCACATACGTTCTTGAAACTCTATTTGGCAAAGCTCTCTAATTTTTTTCTATAATTTTAGATTGCGTATTATTTCTTTCTCTAAATATATTTATTAGAAGTGTGCATTAATTTTAAAGGATTTTCAAGAGATAGATAACTATTATCGCATCGGACCATATTGTTGCTACCTTTATGTTCAAAGCACCATCATGTGGCTTTAGTTTTCAGTATATGTCATTTTGCCGAAGTGTAAATATTGTTTTTTTGAACATTGAATATGTCGAATTTTGTACCAATAAAATGCAATTTGCGAGAAGCTTTGCTTTTTTGCTTCCATTTGAAGAAAAGTGCTGCTGGAAGTCAACGAATGCTGTTGGAAGCTTATGATGATTATACTCCATCGATTTCAACATACGAGTACTGAATTCGACGCTATAAAAAAGATGATTTTGACACGGAAGACAAGGAACATCCAAGCCAGCCGAAAAAGTTTGAAGATGAGGAAGTGGAAGCTTTACTCGATCAAGACCCGAGTCAAACGCAAGAAAAACTTGCAGAATCATTAAATGTTGATCAATCAACGATTTCCATACGTTTGAAAATCATTGGAATGATTCAAAAGAAAATTGAGTGCCGGACGAGTTGAAGCCGAGGGATGTCGAAAGGCGCAAAATGACCTGTGAATTGTTGCTTCAAAGACACAGAAGAAAAAGTTTTTTGTATTGTATCGTGACGGGTGATGAAAAATACGCTAATAATCCGAAGCGCAAAAAATCATGGTGCAGACCAGGCGAATCATCAACATCGAACAGCAAAGCCGAATATTCATAGCGCCAAACTCATGCTCTGTATTTGGCGAGATCAGCTGGGTGTAGTGTATTATGAGCTGCTTCAACCCAACGAAACCATCACTGGGGAACGCTTCCAACAATTGATGCAATTGAGCCAAGCATTGAAGCAAAAACAGCCATATTATGTGAAAAGACACGACAAAGTGATTTTCCAAAATGACAACGCTCGGCCACATGTTGCGAAACCGATCAAGGAAACGTTAGAAGCGCTTAACTGGAATGTCCTATCATACCGCCATATTCTCCAGATATTGCTCTTTCCGATTATCATTTATTTCGATCGATGACTCATGACCTGTTTGAACAGCGCTTCCATTTTTATAAAGATATCAAAAAATGGGTCGATTCATGGATAGCCTCAAAAGATGTGTCGTTCTTTCGACGTGGAATCCACTTATTATCAGAAAGATGGGAAAAAGTAGTAGGCTAGCGATAGACTATTTTGAATAATCAATTTGTAACCATTTTTTCACAATAAAATTGTATTTTTATCAAAAAAATTCTTTAATATTGATGCACACTCCCAATATTTAACTTCCACAGGATGTATTATGAAAATATTTTATAATCGTTGGAAATATCAAATAGGCACATTAAAAAATGCGTTAATTATTTAATACAACATTAACATGTGAATAATAATTTTATAATATTCAAATATCCTTATTTGATTGTAGGGCTTTGGCGTTACAGAGGAAGAACGCGCAAAATGGGAACAGATTGAAAAAGATTGTATCGCTGAATCTGGTGTTGATCTGGGTAAGTGAAGAATAAATTATGCATGATTAAAAAACTTATCAAATAAATAATTAATAATAATTTAAATTTCAGCCGTATATCAAAAGAAAGAGAAACCAGATGAAAATGACGAAATATTAGCTTGTTACATTTCTTGTATATATAAAAAATCCGGAATTGTAAGTAAGCTCCTATTACATTTTACATATACAGGATGTCCCAAAATTCGCGGGTGATATTATTACAGCGTAAAAGGAAAAATTAAATAGTAAAAGTGTAAGGCTTTTTTCCGTAAAATAGTTTTTTAAGTATAAAGTTTGATTTATAATCATAAGAGTTAAGTTAAAAAGTCATTTATCCATATGACATGTGTAGTGGTATTAAATAGTAAATAAAACATCGCCTCTGCATGCACACTATCACACGGATAGATAACTTTTTAATTAACACTTATAATTAGTCAAACTTTAAACATTTATACTATAAAAACTTATTTTACAGGAAAAAATAGTGTACACCTTTATTACTTAGTTTTTCACAAAGCTTCACGTTGTAATAATATTTTAGGATCCGTCGTGTGTGTAATGAGTTCGAGGATTTTAGGCAAAGGATTTCGTATCCGTAGCGGTAATATGTATAATCCACAGACTCATAGATATATTCAAGGTCCGTTTTAATTTCTCTTGCTCTGTACATGAATTCTTCGATGTATATGATGTCTCTTCGGATTGTCACAGTCAAATCTCGTTTTTCACGCTTGCATGTTTCGTCAACCTTTTCGAAATCTTCTTTCGTATCACAATATTATTTCCGCAGGTCGTTCTCCTTTTATCCTCATGTTTATATTTTAAAAAATAATCCGTTTAACCTGTGGAAGATAATAATTAATAATTACTAGTTATTATTTTATTTAGTTATTTCTGTGTGTGCATTTTATCGTCATTCTCGGCACGAAGAAGGAATTTACCTGCCCTATCAAAAGAAACAACAGAGATATTTAAATCCCTCTATTGTTTCGTCGAACTGCTGTGTGTACAGGCAATATTGTCCGCGTGCGTAAACGGTATGCGTACCTTTTTTTGAAATACAACGCATCTTTGCCTTATGTATAATCGTGGCGATAATTGTCACCACAATATATTACCCTTAAATTTCAGGACACCCTGTATATAATGTACATTAAGAAAATAAATTAATGAGAAATTAATTTCTATCCCTATATTTTAGTTGAAAGAGGATGGAAAAATTGATTGGGACAAATTACGCGCTAATATGTCAAAACATGAACCACAAGAAAAAATTGATGAGATATATAACAAATGTAAAGACGTTGGTAAGTATGACATAAATTTAATAAGAGGCAAGATCAATTTTTATCCGTTAAAGAATTGACTGTGCTCCGATATTCTGCCAGTACTGAAAATTTATAGTACGCTTTACGTGCGCTATAGATTTTCATCACTGGCAGTGGCTGCATTCAGCAGAGAAAATTAATCAATTAGCGTTTAATGATTCTTTAATATAATTGGTTCTGTTGAACGCAGTCAATGAATATCGGAATGAGATTACAATCAATATTGTAATCTCATGGCAATTTCCACAAATATTTTTTCTCTCAACTGAAAATAAAATAAAATATTGAAATTATTTCAGATGGAGAGGGTTGCCAAAAGGCAAAGAATTTCATGAAATGTATAGACGATGTTGGTCGCGATCAGATGCATTGAGCGATTAAAATTAAATTCCGCAAGAAAATCTAATTGGAATTATTAAAGAGATTTTAATATCATCTATCGTTTATTATACTTTAGTTAACATTAAAATATTATCTTGCACATGTGTCAGTAACAAAACTGTATTGATAAGAAAGTAAATACACGTTTCGTTTCAGCATAAAATTTTCTTTAAAGCTTTCTCTATTCTTTGTAACCTTTCCTCAAATAATAAGAATTATATATTAGATAAAACATATATTACATTGAATAGTGTTTCAGTCTAAGTTATTCAAGAATCAACATAAAATCAATTTTAGATTAAAAATAAAAAAATTATTAAATTCCCTAATAGATAAATCCTCAAGAAACGTTCCAAAGATCATTCAAAGGATATCCCTATGTCCTAAGAACGTTCCCACGCCAGAACATCCCTTGAGTAATAAGTGTGCTATTAGGGTATAATTAAATAAATTATAAATTGATTTGCAATGAGGTAAAACAAAACACATAATAGTTGCAAAATACAATAAATTATTACTGCAAATAAGTTTTATTAAACAGTTTAGTATTGTAAGTTGCATATTTCCTCCGTACTTTTTCTATTTTTATAATTTCTAATGTTTTAACATCTTCATTATCCCGGATCTACAATAGGTATTTTAAGCCTTAAGTCATAAGAAATTGATCAATTACAGTCGAATTTGAGGAGAATAATCGACTATGATTCGTCCATTTCTTATGGTTTAATGCTTAGAACTCTATTGCAGATTCGCGATTAGCGATGTTATCGCAATAAAGGTAAAATCTATAAGTTAACTCCGGTACATACGCCCCAGACAGCCATCTACGTTCTAACAACGTTAGAACAATATCGCAAACGTATGTTGAATACAATGTCAAGATATTCGAGACGCGTTTGTAATGTACAGAGTATTTCTTCAGAATCTATTACGTCCGCGGTTTTTCATTCTGTAAACTTTCGCAGGGAGCTCCTAGTGATATACCGTAGTTATACTGAGATGTATGAGTATGCTTCAATACGTCTCCAGTACGTACCTATATCCGCGTGTATCATAATAATCATGTCTCTATTTGTCATGTATGCATGCACACATGTACATATACACAGCCTCGCGCACATGCTTGTGTATACAATGCCGAACGAAAATATTGGTACGTGATTACTATTATGAAATAGTATTTTCGGAGAATTAAATCTTTGAAAATACTTTTATTTTATAATAGCATTCTCTGTGTCAATACTTTTATGTCGGCCTAAATAATGCGATGATTTTTTTAGAAATAGTATTACGCGAAAGTAAGAATTTCGAGTTTCAGCACAGATTTCGATCCAACAGGAGAGTTGTTGTAAGTAACAGAATAAAGATTAGATTATCTGATGCAGGTTGGTTCTGCATTCAACATTGTTTATTCTGAAAATATATTACAAATATATTATACATGAGAGATAATGCAAGAATGTTTTAGAGACATTTTGGGTATGTTTGATGTAATAACGATACATTTAGTATCAAAATTGAAGTTGTTTAGTTATTATATTTAATACGTCTTGACAATGTACAAAGAATGATATTTTAATGAGACGTCACATTAACGTTTCTAGTTTCTTCGGTAAAATCACAGTACCTTCAGTATAGAAATAGAATATTAGCATACTGTCATGTGCAGTTTGGGGCCGCACCCAAGGCTGGACAAAATACATCATCAAACTATTTGAAATACAAAATACAAAATACTTTTAAAATTTGTATTTCAAATACAAAATACTTTTTTAAATACAAAACACAAAATATTTCAAAATTTTCTAACAAACTCTAACGGAAATAAAAATAGCAGTAAACTTATCCATAAGGTGAATTTTAATCAGTTGAAATTCACCTTATTGCGAAGTTATAGATAAGTTTATTGTTATTTTCATTTCTGTTCGATTACGTAGACCTAAAACACACAATATCCTGATTGACTCATCGTTTAAGTTTACGTCTTATGGTCATTGTTGCGGAATTTTGTGTGGCAGCGCTAGAGCCTATGGCAAATACAAAAACGTAAGGTCGTAACACGTAAGCAGAAAGGAAATGCGTCGTCTACAATGGGCAGTAGCAGTAATAGATTAAGGAGTAGGCGTAAAAATCAACAAATTATAGTCGAATGTGAGAAGGATTAATTACCATTAGTCGATTTCTACACCTAATTCTTAATCCACTACTGCTATTGCCTATTGTAGACCATAAGATTAGATTTGCTACTGACCTTACGGTTTCATAATCATTTCCATGCAATTCGCTTACTGATTATGTTTTATGGCCTTACATTTTTGTATGTACCATGAGCTTTAGGCCTGTTCTATAATAGAGACATAAGCGATAAGCCATAAGAAATTAACCAATCATAGTCGATTATTCTTCTCACACTTAACTGTGATTGGCCAATTTCTTACGGCTTACGACTTATGATTCTATTGTAATAAGGCATAAGTTCTACAATATGTCACATCTCGGAGTCATTAGTCGTTTATCGCATATTGTATGTCGGGTATAAGTACGACTTGCCAGTCTACAATTGTGTCGTAAGTCAGAACAATGGATATTGAAACATTGAGTATTTATTATTAATTTAGATGCGAATTATAAGAATGAGATTATTTTTAAGAAAACGTTCTATGATAAGTTATTTTATATAGCTGCATCCGTAAAATGGAAGTTATATTCCATCCAGTCGTTGTTGCAAGAAAAGATAAAAGTTGACCATCTTCCATTCTGATACCGACAGTCGATTCGCAATAACTTCATTCGACAGCCGTTCAAGTGTGAATGTGTCTCCACAAATTTTAGAAGCTGTAAGCTTATTGGCTACCGCATCACATTTTGCCGCGGGAAGCTTTTCCGCGTCGAGTGTGCAGAAGCCAATACATGATGTAAGAATACTAGATATTTCGTTCCAGTTGCGCAGTAGCAGCGTAAATTTGGGCAAAATTTTGATTGGCTATTCTAATATGCCAGCGCTATTATATGCAAGAAAGTCAATTTAGACAAAAATTTGATTAGTTGTTTCCAATATTGCTATCGCCATTATGCGCAACGGAACATCTGATATTCTTACATTATGAACTGCGTTTAGGAACATCACCCGGATGCTCTCAGATGTCATGTCATCCTTGTTTAACGTTTGATAAACAAGGATGTGACATCCGGGGAGCACCCAGATAGGAATCCAAAAGCAGTCATGATGAGATACAAGTCAATGGGCCTGTTCAAGTCGAAAAAGCGGCTAGGTCTGCTCGCCATGCAATTAAACATGATTAGTTGGACCCAATGCGCATGCATGTTTCTTCGTCCAATGTGCAGAAGCCATTACTGTTACGGAAAGTGTGTGTGACCAGCTTTAGAGCTGTCGCAGACAAAATTTCTGTAACCTTAAGATGTGAACTTAAGCTAATACCAATCAGGATACTGCTTTACAGCTACTCTAATGGAAATAGAAATAAATTTATCCATAATGCGTGTTTCAACTGGTTAAAATCCACTTTATTGCGGTTATGTATAAATTTACTGTCATTTCCATTTTCGTTAGATTAGCAATAGATCTAGCAATATCCTGATTGACTCATCGGCTTAAGTTCACATCTTACGGTCACTGTTGTGGAATTTTGTGTGCGGCAGCCCTTAGGCCTATTAAACAATAGAGTCGCAATTCGTAAGCCGTAATGCTGAATTCACAATGGACCTGACGTACGACGCATGTCGGATCAAGTGTGAATTCAGCATAAGAAATTGACCAAACACAGTAGAATATGAAACAAGAATAATCGACTATAATTGATTAATTTCTTTCAGCTTACAAATTGCGACTTTATTGTATAAAGCCTCGTCTACAACAGTTGCACAAGCTGTGTCGCATGTCGTATGAAATGTCGCAGAAGTGTCGTATATAGTCGCATGATTGTTGTAGTCGCAAGAGCTCTTATCGTACGGAGTTAAGCCAACTTCAATTTTCTGCGACTGCGACAGGCGTGTCGCATGAACTCAGCCAATCCCAGCACAGCAAGTTGACGTTTAGAATTTGTTGTCAAATTGTGTGCAAATAATTATTGTAGATGCTTATATAGCGACACTCTTGCGACATGTGACAAATTTTTTTGCGATGCTACTACTTACGACATGCGACACAATCTATGCGACTATTATAGACAAAGCTTAACAGACCTTAGGCTGGAATTAGACTACGCATTGAAGAATAAAATTAAAGATTGAAAGATTGATGTTTGACTAATCAGAACAAAAGAAACCAAAATTTCTTTGTCCTGGTAAAATTTCAATCTTTAATCTTTAATCTTAATCTTCAATGCATAATCTGATTCCGACCTTGCTCTACGTCATGACAATTACATCTTGTTACGTCTTATTTCTGCTATAATCCTAACGTTTCCGAATGCAGCCAGTAAGTCTATCGCGTTGCTTCAAGGATTATTATAAAGGATCTTTTTTGACATTTCAAATATAAGATACATTGAAATTGTATTAAAATACAATTTGTATTTCAAATACAAGTATTTGAAATGTGCCTAGCCCTGGCCACCTAACAAAAACATAATTTATTAAGTATTATTTATTATTTTTTAAATGTACTATATCAGTAAAAACTTTGTACTGTCTACTAGTTAGCTTCTGTACCGCGTACCACCTACCGTGCTGTATGTAATCGCATCCTCACTGTAATCATAATATGAGTGCGTTCCGATTTACGCATGAAGCATGTGAGGTGCAATACTGATGCGCAACGCTTCGAAATCGTTTCGTTTTTTTAATGCGCATATAACACTCATGAAGTGCTTGTAAATTCGAAACGATTTCTTATGCAAACTGTGGACTGCATTGGTAATGTTAAAAATGGGCGATTGCGATTCATTGATTAGTTACAAAGATAAAGAATAAATAAATGTATTTTTTTTAACTTTTAGGGATGAAGAATATAAAACATAAATAATAAGGAAGCACAGAAACAACGCAAAATATCTATAACGAAAGTCGTATATTTAAAAAAACTCATATAAACTTAAAAAATGTGATAAGCTTTTAAAAGTAGAGATTTCAAGCTTTAAAATCCTTTTTTTAAATTTGAATTTCATTCATTATTGACGAAGATATTGTATATA